AGTTTTTATCTTCGATGTAAAAGGCTTAGTAAGTCTTTTTCCAGCCCCAAGATGAAATGAATAATAACTCATATTTTTTCTATTACTTTATGTGCATGTTCTATTATCGGCTCTTTAATCCATCTGAAGTGTGCTTTGGTGTATGGTGCAAGGGAAGCATCCACCTTAATTTTTTCCCAAATAGTTTATCAATTATCCAGCACCATTTCCCTACTTATTTAAACCAATATTTGTTGTATATTAACACTATTTCATTTTTTATTTGTTTAAAGTCTTTGTCCTCATCCCCATGGAATTAGGTAGATTACCCTGGTCCAATATGACTGAAGGTTGCATTTAAATCAAAAATTTACTTCAATTTCTGTACACTTGCCTTCTATTCCCCCTTCAAACCTCCTTTCATTTGATTAAGTAGAGCCAAGAGAGGAAAAGACACATGTATGGTTGAGTCTTTGCACGTGGGCCCTCTGACAAATTGGAAGGGACACTAACATCTTGAGGAACAATCAACAAATATTTGACCTCGCTGTGTGCCCGGGACCAAGCGAGAAGCTGAATTCAAGGATGAATAAGGGCCAGTTCCTACGTTCATGGGGTTGATACTGTAGTTGGAGAGGAAACAGATGCATGTACCAGGGAACGAGACAAGGATGATAGCAGACTTGGCAAAAACCGCGAGTCAAAAGATAATGGAGTGGCCTCTTTGAAGTATTGAAAATTTTTTAAAAAACTGTCAGCTTAGAATTCTATACCCGATGACAATGCTGTTCAGATGTGAAGGAGTGGGGGACGCGATGTAGGCTTACAGCAAATCTTCTGCTGCACGTCTGGAAACTATGGCCATCTCTGCATCAGTGCAGCCAGCTCAAGGCCAAGCAGTCTGAGTCATGTTTTCTGTTAAGACTTATTTTTGTAAATAATAATAATAATAGTAATAATTTCTCAGTGGAATCCTCAAGATATCTTCGTGTGTTTGAAAAAAAGAGCTACAATTTAGATTTTTTTCTCTTTCGAAATGTAATGGTATCTATTATATTACATAGCTGTTTTGAGTCCTATTACCTTAAGCAGGCTAATTGTCATAACTTTGATTATAATGACGTTAAACGTGTGAAGATTATATCTGGATCAAGCACTTGAATTCACTCCTTCCTTCCGTAAGTATTTATCGAGCCCTAGCGTGGGCCTGGCCAAGTTCTATCTACACACCACGTGGGGATACATAATCAACCCAGCCCCGCCCTCACGGGAGTAATAATCAACAAATGGACACATTTAATCCATGCTATCTGCTCATTCCACAAATATAACATCCTGGCTTCTTCGGGTGTTCGGAGACTCTGATCTGAAGAATTGCTACCTTCAACAGCACAAAGCATTTGAAGGAAAGAGGGGTCAAGGGTGTATTTTCTCTTTTATAAAGTGGCTGTAAAAAGAGGAAGGGGATCTGGGGGTGAAGATAAAAGGGTTACAATCTTCTCACTGGATTGCAGAGTGAGCCTCTCCTTTTATTTGATGCCATTTGCACCCTGGAATGTCTCCAGGACCTGACACTTGAGGACTTGAGACTGATTTACTTTCTAATTCCCTTTACGGCATCTGGAAGCCCTCTAGTGGCCAAATACCATACCCGAAGAAAATCTTTTTGCTATGCTGAAGAGTTTAGGTGTGAAGTGTACTCCTGTTTGCAATCTACTTTGAAAAGCATCAAAAAATGAGACGAATCAGTGGGTGAATAGAGAGATGCATGGACGGCTGGATGTGTGATAAAGCAAACCCGACAATGTTCACTGTAGAACCCAGCTGACAGGCATACGGGTCACAGTATAATTCTTTCAACTTTTCTGTGAACATTTATATAACAAAATATTGAATAAAAATCTCTTTTCTAGACTCTGAAGAAAAAAATGAAGGAGAAATAAAGATTTTCCAGACCAACAATAGCTGAGAGAGCACATTGGCAAGAGACCCGCAACACAAGAAATGTTAAAGAGATTCTTGGTCCCCTCTCCATTCCCTGACCTAAATCTGGCTCCCTCAGTTCTTTCTCTCATAGGACTTATCACATTTTGGTTTGATAAAATGTTGGCTTGCCACTGGGGAAAAGAAAGAAAGAAATTCTTTATACAGAATAAAAATAACACCAAGTGGAAATCTTGACCTGCACAAAGGAATGAGCAGCATTGCTCAAGTCTACCAAACATTTAAGGAAGATGCTATATGAATTCTGTACAAACTTTTCCAGAAAATAGGAAAGGAGTAGGCAAGACAGAATCCAAAAACAGACCCACACATACCTGGTCAACAATTTTCAACAAAGCTTCCCGGGTAACTCAACGGGGGAAAGGAAAATCTTTCATTAAAAATGGTGCTAGACCAACTGGATAAACAAAAAAGAAAAAAAGAAAGCCTGGCCTATGACTTCACATCTCATACAAGACCTAACTCAAAATGGACAGGTCTAAATATAACAATGAAGATGTAAGAATGGTTACATTTCTTGAATGAAACTTCTAGGAGAAAACCTTGTGACCTTGGGTTAGGTAACTATTATTCTTAATTTACAAATGAAGAATTGAGCATAGACAGGTAAAGAACTTGCTGAGGTCACATAACTAGTTAGTAGCAGAACTAGTCTTCACCCTTAAATTTATGCTCAGATTTGATGTACTTGACTGGCAAGGGCTTCGGGGTTTGTGCAGAAATGAAGGAAAATGCCCGTGCCTGCTCCCTGCTCCTTCACATTGTACCCCAGTCACAGAAGAAGCACGGAGCCCCTCCTGGGACACGTGGCCTTACTTGCCCTGGGAGGTAGCACTCTGCTGTCCCCACCAGAACAGGCCACTGCTTGCCGCTGCCCTGGGCCCAGCTGTCCAAAAGCAACCACTTCCCGTCCTTGGCCCAGGCCGTGCTTTCCCACCTCCAAGCCTGAGCTCCTGACTTTCTCCCCTCTGACACCATTTCCTTATCTCTGCCTGCCCACTCCCTACTTGTCCTGCAAGGATGTTGCTGCCTCCAGGAAGCCCTCCCTGATGCTCTCAGCCTGTAGCATCTGTCTTCCACTGAGCTCCTCAGGACTCTCCTGGTGCCTTTCTTAGAGTAGGTACCACTTTCTACTTGGGTTATGGCTCCTGGTGTAAAGGCTTTCCTCCTTTCCCGAAGGCAGGCACCTTGAGGGCAGGACACGTCTGAGCTGTCTTTGTATGTCCCTGCACAGCCCCTGCACGAGGCCCATCCAACGGGTGAATGTCTCAAGAAGCCACCACCAGTTAGTCTGTCGTCCTTGTTCCTCCTTGGAAGATCAGGCCCCGCCTCATCCTTGATGGTGCAGAAAGGGCTCTTCTCCCATCCTTGCTATCTGAGCCCTGCTCAGGGCCAGGAAGGCCCCGGGCACTGGGTCTACCCTCTGTGCAAGCCCCCTCTTCTCCCCATTTCTGACACTGCAGACTCTAGGCTGAAGCCCTGTCCCCCCCACCCCCACCCCGGGCCCTGCAGCAGGGAAGCACTAGGGAGAACAGTCCTATAGGCTGAGGGGTCAGCCTCTGCCCCTAGTTCTCAGGACTGCTCTCTTTCCCATGGCTCCAGTTTGGCTGCTGCGGTAGCAAAGCCAAGACAGGGAGAGAAGCCCCCAGGAAAGGGGCATGAACCACGGCCCAGGCAGACAAGTTGTCTCGTCCATGCCCCGCCTCTGGAGGGACACTCTTGGTCTATTTGGGGTGCACAATTCTCTCTCCAATTCAGAAAGCTCCTCCTGGGTCACATGGTCCCACTTCTCAGAAAGGTGTTGACACCCCCCCTCCGTCCCCCTCCTGTGACCTGTGCTCCTTCTTTCCTGCATCTAGCCTGCAGGTGGGTGCGAGGGGAGGCGGTGGAAAGCAGGAGCCTGGACTGGAGCTGGGGTGTGAAGAGCAGACCGTGTTCCAGCTAGTTGGGTGACCTGGCAGGCCTCAGAGCTGACCTACCGGGAGAGCAGGACTCAGCCTTCCCCAGGGCTCCCTCCTTCCTCCTTCCCCCTGGGAACTCGGGAATCTGGGAGCCTGGGAGGGTCAGGGGCCCTGGCTTGAGGGTGAGGGAGGACAAGAGCTTCTGGTGGTGGTGGGTCACATCGGGGTCCTTCCTGTCCCGTCTGGACATGGGGCAGTGGGGGCTGTGGAGAGGCCCTGAGTGAGGGTCAAATCCCCATCACGCCCTTGATGGTCTTCCAGCCCTTCTGTTGGGGCTCACAGAGCACATCCTGGAGTAGGATTCCCCAACCCAGACTCCTTCCTGCCCTGGGAGTGACAGGCATGAGGCTGTCCCGGGAACCCTGGCCCTGCGTCCCCTGTGCGTATAACACGCAGGGAGGCTTCTAGCTCTGCTGCTTACAGGATTTTTGGCAGATAGAGGAGTGCAGGAGACACAGGCTGGCAGTAAGGGAGGTCTCTCCACCACACAGACCTTTCAACCATCCTCAGCTTTCCCATTCTGGGAATCAACTGTGCAGGCCTGGGCTGCAGATGAGCCCAATTCTCCCCTCAAGCCCACCCATCCTCCCAGCTGGAGCTGGTATAAGGCCTCTGCTTTGGGAATCTTTCCTCCAACATACCAACCCCAAGTTCATTTGCAAACAATTGCCTGTATTAGCCTAACATTTTAATGAAGAAAACTACAGAAAGCAGCCACACACATGCACTCGATGCCTCGTCCTCACCCGGGTGCTCTGACCTCCCTCACTCCTCCCTCCCCATGGTCACAGCAGACCCAGCTCTTCCCGCTCTCCCTCCAAGGGGCCCAGCCCAGGAAAATGGGGATGCGGCCTCCATCCTGCAGGCAGGTTCTCGCTGGATCTCCTGAAGCGCAGAGGAAACCCACACGGTGAGAGTGGAGGCTCGCTGTCGTCCTGTTCAGTGACTTAGCTTGGGGCCGGGAGGCTGAATGCCACCCCTCCTTCTCTTCCTTCCCCAAAGACTCTGTGCCCTCCTGGAGGGACCTCCTCTGGAGCCCCCTCACTCCAGTCTCCCTGGGGCTCCGGGCACCACCAGTGTCCTCCATCGTTCGGGACTGGCTCCTCGGGCCAGTGTGGGTGTCAAGAGTGAAGCTTCGGGGATCTGTCATCGTTCCATGGCTGTGGGGTCCAGCAGGGCCATCCCGGGCGAGGCAGGGCTATGGGCTGGATTCTGTAAGACAGAGACCAGGCTATTTGGGCTGGTCCCCAAGGGGCAGCTTCCCCCCACCCCTGTCAAGTGGTGAAGGCAGTACAGCAAGTGGGGCAGGCCTGGGGGCTCTGCCATCAGGGGGCCTGGCTTTAAATCCAGAGCCATCACGTGCTCTCCCAGCTTGGGCAAAGCCCTCCCCTGGCCCCTCAGGCAACCATAACCACCCCCAAGTCCAGGTGCGTGCACAAGCTGGCCTCTCTGAGAGCGGCTTCCTGAGGCCTTGGCACAGAAGCCACAGGGAGAAGAGATATGCGGTCCAGTGCTGAAGGGCCGTTCTTGCACAAAGGTCAACTCCGAATAATTAAAAATGTTTAGGATTTACATTTTTTTTACTATTCAAAATACAAGATGTATTAAGTCCAAGTGGGTAAAAATGTTTTCTTATTAACATATATTATTTGCTTTACTGAAAAGGAGACCAATGAGAATCCGCTTGGCTTTCTGGGCACTAAATGCCCATATCTGGGCATATTTACGAAGGTGCAGCACAGAAGAAGCCCCTCATCTCCCATCTTGAACTGTCTTGCAAGGCCATGCTGGGAAGCTCAGGTGGGAGGTATGTGGCCCCTTAAGCCAAGAGTTGCTTGTCACTGATCTGGTCCAAATACAGCACTTCACAGATGGGAAACCAAGGCCCCAGAAGGGCGGGGATGGCCAGGGTAAATACCAGAGCTCTGCAGGGCCAGACAGAGCGCCCTGGTGTCCTGACCCCCACCCCGTCACTCTAGAGGGGACGGGCCCCTTGAGCGCTCCCTGAAGGCGGGCAGGCGGCTGCACCTCCATCCCCCCCACGCCCCGGCTTGGCCCCTGCAGGGGCAGGCTCTATACCTGTGACGATGAGGGTGCCGGTGCTCACAGCCTGGCCCAGCGCGTTCTCAGCCACCGCCTTGTAGCGTCCGCTGTCCTTGGGGGAGACGCTGGGGATGACCAGGGAGCACACGCCCTGCACGTCAGTGCTGTACACGGCGGGGTTTCCCTCCAGGCTCTGGTCATCCTTGAACCAGGTGACATGGGGCCGGGGACAGCCCTGCACGGCACAGCTCATGCAGCACTCGAAGCCGGGCGGCAGCAGGTGGGCCCGCAGCCCCACCAGGAAGCGGGGCTTCTGGCGCAGGTCGGGCTCCCGGAACCTTGGGGTCTTCACTGCGAACGTGTCTGCGGTCAAGACCGCAGAGAGAGGAGGTCAGAGGTTGGGAGCGCTGGCTGAGGCAGAGGCGGGCAGGAAGGTCCTGGGGCGACGGGGGCACCTCCTGGGCCTTCCTGCCTCATCTTACCTGCAAGTGTGGCCCCTAAGCTGACTCATTTTTTTTTTCCTTTTCTTAAAACACTTTTGGGATTTTTTTTTTCTTGCTACAAACTAACTTACATCTACTGTGGACAAATTAGAACATACAGCAAATCAAAAGGAGAAAATGAAACCAAGCATCATCTCACTACCTATCAACAACCACAGCTAACATTTTGGTGTGGAACCTTCCAGATTTTTTTTTTTTTTTTTTTTGGTAAGGAAGATTGTCCCTGAGCTGACATCTCTGCCCATCTTCCTCTACTTTGTGTGTGGGATGCTGCCACAGCATGGCTTATGAGCGGTGTGTACGTCCACGTCTGGGATCTGAACCTGCGAACCCCAGGCCTCCAGGGGCCTTAACCACTATGCCACCAGGCTGGCTCCTGTTTTTGTATTTTGGAAAAACAAAGTCATGCAGTTTTATAACCTGCTTTTTCTAGTGACTGCTGTAACCACAGGCCCTCTAGGACCAGTTCAACTGACCCCATCTTATCAACAGAGTAAATAAGAGTGGTTTTTCAGGAGCTGAGACCCCTTGTCCAGTTCAGGCTGGTTGAGACTACCAACCCATCAACTGGGCCTGCACAAACGCTCGATAAGTGACCTTTTGACATCAAGGAGCTAAAAACTCCACCCTTAGATCATGCTAACACCGCCATTTTGTGAACACGCATCCTGTGAAGAGCCATGAAGCTTGACTACACTTGCGCAGATCACCAATTACCTCATCTCTCCTCTCTTCCAACCATCTATCTCCACACTTCAGACAGCCCTGCCCTTCATTCCATAAATTGTGCCCCAAGCCCTGGATCCGGGAGACAGATCTGAGAGCATATGCCCCATCTCCCTGCAGATGGATCTAGCAAAAAAGCTGATTTCTTTCCCCAAAAGCTGATGCCGTAATAATTGGCTCTTTATGCAGATAGGGCAAGAGAACCCCAATTTTGTGTGGTACACCACTTTGAAGGTCTACATTTATTTGACTGACTACACTTTGTTTTCAGAGAAACAGTAATCTCTCTTTACCTGGTTGCCTGCCACTGACTGGAGAAGCCACCAAAGGCACGTAGACATGTGGACCCCCACGCCCCTTGGTCCTCCCCGGAGTCGGGGCACAGAGGCTGTCAGGGCAGGTGGGTTGGGCGGGCTGGACACTGGGCCAGCTCCTCATGGAGACACGGTGCCCGCCTCTCCGCCCGGCCTCCGAGCTGGCCCGTGGGACAGCGGCTGCACTCACCTCGATGCCGGGGGACGCACCAGGGCTCGCTGGTGTCCGAGGGCTGGCTGGTGCCCAGCTCGCTCTTGGCCACCACCCGGAAGTGGTACTCGAGGCCGGGGAGGATGCCCAGGAGAGTGTAGTGGTTGGTGTGCAGGCCGTCGGCCACAGGGCGCCAGGGCCCGAGCCCCGAGCAGCGCATCAGCACCGCGTAGTGCAGTGGGGTGTCCCCCGCCTCATCCGGAGAGGGCTCCCACACGGCCGTCACCGTCCCCAGCACGTTCTCCTGCAGGCGGATGGGCCCGGGCGCCCGCGGGCACGCTGAGGACGGAGGGTACAGGGAGCCGCGTTGGGGGGACCCAGCGGGCCACCTGAAAATGCCCGTGGGCTTCAGCCGTGGCCCTCCCCGGGGCCCAAGTCTCCTGGGGTCCTGGGGAATGCAGTCTTGCAGGCAGGTACCACGAGCCAGAGAGAGCTCGGCCGGGGTCTACAGTTATCTCTAGAGCAGGGAGACCTCTCCAAAAGAATCATTTTAATTCACTGGTCGTAAGTAAAACAACACAGGACACGGGCAGAGTAGGGGCTTTCACAGGACCAAGCTGCAGAGCCCTGCTGTTAGTTGTTCATCGATTCTGTATTCCGGAAGCTCCTTGCGGGGGGCCTGCGTGGGCGTCGCAGTGGGGAGGGCAACCCTTATCTCCTACAAGGACCATAGACAATTCCTCCCAGGGCTCCTTTGAGTCAGGTAACGGTGGTGACCGTCTTCGCTCACTGACCCTAAATGAAGAATTGCTGGAATGCAGTGAGGGCTGTGGCTTAGGTGTCCCTAAGTTCCTAAGGCAGAAGAGCAATGAACCCCCCAGGATCCTGCCTCCGTCTCTCCTCCTTTCTCTCTTCAAACATGTTGGGAGGGTTAGGTGGTTGTCCCCTTGCAAACCCAGGCCTGGGGGAACAGCTGAGACCTTGACCAGGCCAGAGGGAAGGTTCCACACTTTGATGAGTGGCTAAGCCCGTGTCCAAGCCCCAGCCCAGGCCCCCTCACCTGCCACCCGCAGGTGGAAGCTGTAGGTGGCCTCCTTCCCCTGCAGGCCCCTCAGCACCACGGTGTAGACGCCGCTGTCTGAGGGGCTGGCCGTAGGAACCAGAAGCTGGGTGAGGCCGTCCTTGGTGGAGGTCACACTTCTTCTAGGCAACGGCGAGCCATCCTTGAGCCAGGTCACCTCGGGCATGGGGGCAGCCTGGGAATCGAGGGGAAGGCGAAGTGAGAAGGGGAAGTTTTGCAGAAGCAACGGCATGTATGCTGGGCTTGGGGTGTGAGTGGAGAAGAGCATCTGGGAGGAGAAATGTCTGAGCAACACCAGACTGAGTGGGAAAGTGCTGTAAGGGAGAGGCTGGGTGACTGGTGGGATGCAAGTGGGTGTGTTTGGGGCTGGGGGACAGGGGAGGAAGCTGAGAGGCTGGGTGACTGGTGGGATGCAGGTGGG